GTGCCACGACAGATTAAACCCCCCCCCCCCCTCCCCTCCCCCATGTTTGCGGTTAATGCTTTCAGGACAGCGCTTTGTCTCTTGAAGTTCGGCAAGCGAAGCACAGTGCCTTACGTCGCAGAGCCCACAAACCCTCAGTGCAGCCCTGAGTCTAGGGTTAAGACAGCCAACATGGACAAACACTAGCCCCAGTTTCCCCTCAGCAGGGGCTCCAGCGGGGCCTCACAGAGGGACTTTGAGCAAACATGGAGATCACAGTGGGTATCAAGGAATGCATATGGCAAAACTCAGCTGAGAAGCTGAGCTCGTTCGTTGGGAAATATTGAAGATTAAGGTGCCGTATTATAAAGGGGAGGGCAGCCTGTGACTTACTTGCATCCAAAAAGCTATTCAACTCGCTATTTTTTGCATTAGTCATTACCCTCTACTGAGCTCTCTCTGATTGAACAGTGCATTACACAAATGTACAAGGAAAAATACTGCTTTTACACTATACATTTTCTAAAATATATACAGAGTAAAATAAGTTATTGATATTTCCATGAGTTGCAGCCAGTTTGCACTTCACTTGTGCATTTCGGTTTGTTAACGTGCATGTATGAGAGAGAGCGGGTGTGCAAATATCAGTCCATGTCAAATCGCAAGCACACCCTCGCACTCGTCCTCACACGCACGCGCACACACTAGAGTCTATGGTTTCCTACAGGCAGCTACTTATTTGGTTATAGATTAAGAGATTTGTAAGAGCGGCCCAGTGAAAGCTGAAAGTTCTCCCCGATCCAGGTCAATAAAGTTAAACCGATAAATCACTTTATACGGAGGGTACAGCCCCCCAAGCTTACATGTTAAATATCCTAACATTTACAACCTAAGACTGTTAAAAAATACATTTCTCAAAAAAATATTTGTTGCAGGCTTCTCTTTCAAGCATGCTTTTTGCGATCAGCGATGCGAGTCTCGCTGATCCATTGTGATACTCTGATTCTCACAATAACGCTCCAAATCCCATCTCTGCCCCAGTGCATAGTGGGGCAGAAGGATGTGGATCACTATAAAAAGACACCGCCTAGAGGTCATAGGTCATTCCGCCAAAAAGCTTCAAATTTAGCATCATTATCGCCCAGTGTCCCTCCTAATGGTTCTTGACCAGTCCTGTTCTTCGTACTTTCTCTGACATCTGGAGAAGTTAAACTATTGGAGAAAGGGGGAAGGAAAAACATGGTACTTGCGTAATAGTTTAGAGTAACTAATAGCCACACATTCTTTAGCCCTTTGAGGTGAAGTCTACGTGAAAATCTCCAAACTCGCCACCCCGGAGGAAGAGAGTGGAGTTCGTGAAGCTCTCACAGTCCAGTGCTGAGGACTGTGTTTTGCGTGTCGATTTGCGTCTGGATGTGGGCCGTGGGGGTCGGGGAAAGGATGTGCGTCTGGTGGGTGTGTGGGTGCGTCTGAGCCTGGCAGAGAGCTTCGCGGATCTGAAGGTTGAGTTCCATGAGGCGTGAGCTGGCCTGAGAAAGATCCCTGCTGGGGCCCACCACAGCCAAACAGCCCGTCTGACCCAGAGTCTGGTGCCTGAAGTAAATGTGCAGCAGCGTCTGTACTGCATCATCCCTCTCACTGCCAAATATGTCATTAGGCCACAGGCACCTGAGGGAATGAAGAGAAGTAAGAGATACAGAAGGTGGGTTTATAGAGGTATACAGATGCAGGAACATATCAGATTTATGCAAAAGAGATCTACAGGAGTTCGACAAGATGCTTAATTCCATTATGGATCCTAACTAGACATGCTGTGAAATATGTTTCCAGTGACAAGCAATTTGTCTGTCAATTCTGAAATCGGTCAATCAGAATATATTTAATGTTTAACAGACAAACTATGTAGAACGAGATCTCGGACCAATGAGGTTGTAATGTTGCTTGTCACATCTGGTTAGGATGAAAAACTATTAAAAGGAGTTTAAAAGAGTTTCTTGATACTTTTTTGCTTAGTTCTAGTTATATGAGAGCATATAAATAGTTATATTTATTATTAAAGTTGTCAAATGTCAACTTGATCTTCTGGTTAAACAACAGACTTTGACAGACTGGTGATGTATGTTGGATTTCACCCTTCATTTAGTCGCTTAAACTCCGCCCCCCTTCCTTAGAATCACCTGAAAGCTCACATTCAGATTTGCCTCGATCCAATCAACAACTGATGGACTGAACCAAGTCCACACCCACATTTTTTTCTGTTTTGATAATCTGTTACACTCGGATGTGCATTAAAATATTTCATCGCAACGTTAAAGACACCATGAAATCAAAACTGACAACCCTTATTTTTTCATTAAATACTGCAGCGTTTATTATACAGAATTTATCTGTGCAATATTATTGACATCTTTTATTAATAGTACTAAGATCACAGCAATTGGCAAATGACAATGAACCAAGTCCCAACCTACACTTTTTTTTGTCCGATGAGCCATTTAATTGGGATACAGTTTCACTGCAACTTCAAAGCCTAGTTATCTTACCTGAAGGCTTTAACTTGAGCAATGGCTGTGCTGAAGTCCCGTGCTCTGAGGCTCTCAATGAGTGAGTGGATAGCCGTCTCTGTGCTTGACTGGTCCAATTTAATATCGCCCAGTCCCTCCTGTCCATCACCTACTGACTCTGCCTCCTTCAGACAGCTCTCTAATATGGCCAGCTCCTCTGACATGTTAGTCACCTGAGAAACACACAAGCACCATGACATTTTAAATCAACATTCAGTCAATATTCTCACAACTCTAAACCACTCATGAATAATGACCAACTTGCCAGTACACAATCAGTCAGTTGACAAAATCATTAAGGCACACCATAGTCATTATCATATTAAGAATAAACAATTGAAAATTGAAACCAAGGCAATGCGTATTAACTCAAAACTGGATTCTCCCAAGCAAAATATATGTGAACTGTTATACTGTATGATTTCTAAATAACAGAGATCGATGAGCTCTGTGTGTGTATGTGTGCAGTCTATAGAGTGTAAGTGAGTTAGTATCGATGATCGATAGGCTGAATGGCTTTGCTCTGGTCTGTAATAAGCATATCAGTCTCTCTCTCAGTGAGCATAGTGAAGTTAAACTGCACTAAGATCATTATGTGCAGTCAGACATTTATGTGTGTCCATACTGGCACACATTAGCACAAACTACCACAAATCCAGTCTTCTGTATGTGTGTGCCATCATGCAGCTTGCTGGCCTCATGTCATGCACTTTTTGTGGCACTCAAAAAGCCACAACAGTACAAATAAGATTTGTATTTCTTGTTAATATGACATAAATCTATACATACGCTTAATTTATAGGCCTTTTCACACAAATTCTTGCAAAATGAAACGGAATCTTTCATCTTCTATCAATACATTTATATCTTGACACTGCATGTTAAAGTTTTGACAATGGCACTGAAACAACAGCGAGACATGCTGCAATGGTCAAAGCCGTCCTTCTAGCACAATCCTTCATAGAAAAACAATTAAAGGGATAGATCAGCCAAAAATTATAATTCATTCAACATTCAGCCAGCCTCATGTTGTTCCAAACCCATAAGATGCTTGTTCATCTTAGAAACACAAATAAAGATATTTTTAATGAAACCTGAGAGATTTCTGTCCCTGCATTGAAAACCCATGCAAACAAAACTTTGAGGCTTTAAAAAGATCATAAAGACAGTGTAAAAATATTCCATCCTTACTCCAATAAATCCAAGTCTTTTAAAGAGACGTGATGGCTTTATATGATGAAGAGATTTAATTGAGGCTTTTATTCACATAAACATTGATCAATACACATTCATAGAGCACATCATATATGGTAAACAGATGAGCCAACCTCAGCCAATGAGGTTTGTTCTTACACATCAAGCAAGTATCCTTGGGCTAATGGGCTTCCATTCACCATATATAATGTATTCTATGTATGTGTGTTGATCTCTCAGGTTTCATTTAAAATATCTTAATTTGTGACCCTGGACCACAAAACCAGTCATAAGGGTAAATTTCATGAAATTGAGACTTATACATCATCTGAAAGCTGAATAAATAAGCTTTCCATTGATGTATGGTTTGTTAGGATAGGACAATATTTGGCCGAGATGAAAATCTGGAATCTGAGGGTGCAAAAAAATCTAAATACTGAGAAAATCGCCTTTAAAGTTGTCCAAATGAAGTTCTTAGCGATGCATAATACTAATCAAAAATTAAGTTTAGATAAATTTACGGTAGGAAATTTACAAAATATCTTCATGGAACATGATCTTTACTTAATATCCTAAAGATTTTTGGCATAAAAGAAAAATAGATAATTTTGACCCATACAATGTTTTTTTTTGGCTATTGCTAAAAATATACCCAAGCGACTTGAGACTGGTTTTGTGGTTCAGGGTCACGTGTGTTTTGAAGATGAACAGAAGTTTTATGGGTTTGGAACAACTTAAAGGCGAGTAAATGATGACAATTTTCATTTACGAGGGAACTAACCCTTTAAAAATGGTGCAGACAAACACAACAATGTATCCTGTGTGAACAACAACAACACAGGACAAAAAACACAAGCAGAAACAAACCTCTGCCTCTCTCTTGATGGTGTCCACTCTGCTGATGAGTTTGCAGTAGGCCTGAAAGAGCAGTAGGAGCTGGAAATGCAGCTTATACAGCCGTCGACACAACTCCAGCTCCTAAAGAAACAGAGAGAGAAAGAAAGAACATGACACCATCACCTTAACATCTTTAGTTTTAATCATCAGCACAGTCAGCAGCAAAACAGCATGATTGGATGAACGGACGGCAAGATGAATGAACAAATGGAGGGAAAGACGGATGGATGAACATCCTGGCTTTGAGACGGAGAGAAGGGTTAGCAAGGTTATACCTTGGAGAATCATTTTGTAAAACGTGGACCATGTATGATTCCCTTATCAGAACGAAACCCTGAAAAAGTGATGTTTCTGGAAAATGTCAGATCCGAATTGCATGATCCAAAATATGTCAGCAGTGAGCAGAGGGGACAGATGGATGAAGGGGTGAGCATGCAAAAATGGCAGGTACAAAAATAATCTAAGCTACTTTTCTCTCACGTCCTCCGCTCAGATGTCCATGGACACACTCTGTATGCATAATGTGTCAAACTTTCTAAAAGCATTAAAAACACTAGTAACCCATTATAAAATCAGCATTTAGGAAGCAAGGTCAACACTGTAAGTATGCAAAACTCATTTAAGCCATTAAATAATCATTATTGAAGCATGTAGTGATGATTTATGAATAATCATGAATTAGACAGGTCTGTAGTGGTGTTAAGAGATCAGATGTAGGCATAGTTCTGAATTCTGATTGGTTGAGAACGACTGTGCAGATGTATCAGTGAAGTATAGATGAATGTTCAGTATGCGTGGCTAAATAGAAAGGATTGTGACAGGCTCTAAAATATGATAAACCACTTACTGCTAGCATTTCCATTGGCTAAGCAAAAAGGACAGCAGGTCACAAAAAGAGGAAACACAGGAAATGAGAGAAAGACCAAAAATTAGTGTGCTGATAACACCTCAAGACCAAACATAAGAGACAGAGAGAGAAATATTGCAGTCTGTTGATAATTAACAATGACAGGGAAAAAAAAATGCTGTTACATGAAATGACTTAATATGTTTTCTCCAGTTTCATGTACACTCAAACATTTGTTACATTGCTAAATATATGCTAATAGATCGAAGAGGGAAATTAAAGAGCGAGAGAGGTTGAGACAGATGCAAGTTCCAGTAAGAGAGAGAAATATCAACTGTGGCATCACAAAATTGCAAAAGTGCTTAACATCACAGAAAATAAAGATGCTGTTCACTAGGAAAGCAGTGACTAAGATGAATAGAAGAGTAAGACACGGAGAGCATAAAGGTAAAGCCTCCACCATAAGAGACAAACTGACAGAGAAACAGTGCTTATGCCAGCCTTCAGGGTCACATGATTCTTCAGAAATCATTCTAATATGCTGGTTTGGTGCTCAAGAAACATTTCCTATTACCAATTTTGAAAACACTGTTCCTTAATATTTTTGTAGAAACCATAATAATTTTTTTTACCCCGAAAGTTCAAAAGAACAGCATTTATTTTAAATGTCTATATTGTAACTCTTCATCAATTGAATTCATCAATTGAATGTGTCTTTGTTGGATAAAAATATTAATTTATTTTTAAAAAATATTACTGACCCCAAACTTTTTAACAGTGTGCTTTTTTGAATTTTTGGAGAAAATCTACTCAGTTGTGTGGATGAAAGGGATGTGCAGAACTTGAAATGAATAACAGACATTTTAACTCTGCAGAAATCTGTGGTGCGCTCAGGAGCACAGATTCTGTGTGGGCCTGATTATGGGTAGCAGAAAGATCAGCTGCCCTCGAATCAAATCTGCTTACATTCTTACAGACGTTCTTACATTCTGTTTTATTTCTCAGAGATGAATAAAATTGTTTAGAGCACAAATGTTCACATTTGTGTGCTCAAACTGAAGCATGCAGTGAGGTGAGTATGTGGAAGTGATTTTTTTTTAATACCTGAGCTTGAGTGTTGGGTCGCTGGTTACCGTCTTTATCACCAAAGGTCTTTTTGCAGTTATCCAACCACTGAAGGGGAAGCAGAAATTAGATACCTTAACCAAAAAGCAGAGAAGTGAAGGTGGAAATTTCTGATGTTGTGAATGTGAGCAAAGACAGATGACGTTCCTGTGAGTGCGAAACAGAAATAGAGGGAAAGACGAATAGTTCGTATGGGAGTGTGCGTGAGGTAAATTTAATAAGAGTCTGCTACTTAGCAAATTAAAGAGGGTCTGTTTAAGCACAGAGGGGGTCGGGCACATAATGCTCTAGAGGCAGTGCCTGTGTCTCATCCAATTACTGTCCTCTAGTCATCCACTATCCCATCTGCCCCGTCTACTCCCCTTCCTGAGCCTGTCCGCCCAGCTAAATGATTTAGGGCCTCCATGAGAGAAATTGGCTGCTGTAGATTCTAGATGGGTGCTAACGGAAGCTAACTCATGTCCTTATATGATTTACTAGCCAACAATAACTGCAAAGAGACATTTTATGATCCTGCACTGTCAGCTTATTCTCCTCTGCTGTCTCTCCTCCATTGCATAATCTCTTTAAAGATGGGTTTAAAGACTAAACTTTAACTAACAAACTGCACAGGAATTGGGTATAGCTGAAAATCAGTGTACTGCTTCTGCCTTAATGGAACCAAAGACGTTCTTTCATTATTGCATCAGATTTAAAGAAAGATTTTCAGTGAGTAACTTAAATTTTGTATTTGTTCCTTACTCAAAGACATCATATGGCTTTGAAATACTTGGAAAAGAAAACACACAACACCACAATATTATACACTGATATATTACTGAAGTTAGTATCTCACCTGTTCGGCTGCTTCTCTCTTGCTGTTGTAAGTGTCCAGATGCTCTTGTAACTCCAACACACTGAACTTCAGAGTCTCCAAGAGCCCACAGGAGACCAGCTAAAACACACACAGTTTACTGAATATACCAACATGTTGTATTATTGCACACTATCACACATATAGATAACAGATTGGTCAGTGATATAATCTTTGTAAACAGACAAGTGTAACTACACAACTATCAATAAGCTGTGTAATTTTCAGATGTGAGGTACAAAGGAAGTGTACACTCACAGTTTCAGCATCCAGCAGGACTGTAGGACACTGAGAGCAGGAGGTCATGACCTCTAGAGAGCTTAGGAACTGGTTTCCCATTCGTTGCAGCCCCTCCCCAAGGAATCGTACTGAGGCATGGGTAATCGAGTCAAATTTCCTCTGAATGTGCTAAAGAGACAGGAGAGAATCAACTCAGTACTGCAGAAAAACACCAAGCTATGAATCAGTCAAATAACAATGCTATGGTAAATATCACTTATACAAATTTGATTATGAAATAAAAAATTGTGTTTAGGATACATAAAATGCTAACAATTAAATTAGTTGTATGGCTAGAAAGTGGAGACAATTCATTCCAAAAATGCTTAAAATTGTGATTTGAAATGTTGGAAAAGACATATGTTGATGGTGGTTCAAGAACAATACGCTAAACATAACATAACACACTGTTGGAAATTATAAGTAGACAAATAAACTAGTGACAGTTAAAAGTTTAAGAGTCCATACAGCCAAAAGTGGCCATAGATTAAGAACCCATTTTTATAAACGTAAGTAAACCTCTATTCAAACCTTTTTTTTTAATTGTTTTTGAAAGAAGTCTCTTATGCTCACCAAGGCTGCATTTATTTGATAAAAGTACAGTTAAAAAAAGAAATATTGTGAAATATTATTAAAATTAAAACTTTTCTATATAAATATAATTTAAAGTGTAATTTATTCTTGTGATGGAAGAGCTGAATTTTCAGCAGTCATTACTCCAGTCTTCAGAAATCATTGTAATATGCTGATTTGCTGCTTAAGAAACATTTTTTATCAATGATGAAAACAGTTGTGCTGCTTAATATTTTTGTGGAAACCATGATACAATTATTTCAGGATTCTTTGATTATTAGAGAGTTAGAAAGGAAAAGCATTTACCAGAAATCTTTTGTAACATTATAAATGTCTTTAGTCACTTTTGATCAATTTAATTAATACTTGCTGAATAAAAGTAATAAAAAATCTTACCAACAAGATTTTTGAACTATTCTGCAGAAAACTGTATATAAATATTCATGTAACATGCAGGTATACACTCACAAACTCTAATTTTTACCTGAAAGAGTTGTGAGAACACATGGAAGGTGTAAACAGCACAAGACCCATCTGAGTCCGACAACATCTGGTTGACATGGCAACGCCAGGCGTCCTCCTCGTCGTTATAGACTACGGGCTGGAATGCTGCCAAAATAGCCGAAAGAAAGGGCGACGGAGGTGGTGAGGCCTGGAGTTCAGGAAAGCCGTCTGCATCACCCTCATCTTGACTGCGAACAGAGATGGAAAGAGCTAGACTCAGACACATATAGAGACGTGAGTACACAAAGCGGTACATCATCCAGGAAGAAAAATGTAAACCGCAACATGCTGTTCTTTCTATCAAGATCTCCCTCCTCTCTCTCTCTCTCTCTCACTGCAGATGTCCTGTGCTGCAGTGTTGTTACAGTCAAAATCTTCTGCAGATGCACAGAAACACAACATAAGCACACACAGACAAACACACACTTACAGGCCTGTAGGGCCGAAGAGCTTGATGAAGCAGACCGAATAGATGAATCTGAGACCAGTGCTGCTGATAGATGTGGAGGACATTGCCTTCATCTTCACTAAAAGCTTTTATTGTTCTCTTCACTGTCGTTCTGCTCTGATGCCTTTTTCGCCGTTCCCTCTCCAAGCTTTTCACCTCACGTGTTAGCCTAAATTCTCCCGCTGCGTTTGTGACGTTCTGTTTTTCCCTCTCACTCCCTCCCCCACTCGCTGCTGCTGCGCCGCACAAGAGGGGTTCTCACACATACGGCTACAGGCTCTCTTTCAGCTAAATGGATCTCAGGCGTAAAAAGTTGCCAGGAAGAGCAAAGAAAGGCCCTCATTGCGCAAAAATCTAATTAGAGCCCTTTGCTGAATCGCTGCCTATAATTTTTATTAATCGATCATGGAAGAGCCGGACACATCAGGGCTTAGAGGATGATATATAGCACTGCAGAGGAAGAGTGTGTGAGAGTGCGTGTATAAGAATAAATTAAGTGAGTTCGTGGGGGCACTTTCTTATGTGCTCTCGTATTGATGGCTGACCTTCAAGAGCAATGATGTTGCCAAGTATGAGATCACGATTCAAAGCGTTAATAAAAATCATCCTTATTATTCACTGCAGAAGATAAGCAATATGTTGAATGGTATTAAATGGTACAGTACAGAGCAAAAAAAGTCTAAAGATCCAAAGGGAATGGTGATATGTACAGCTGTAAATGGGGTCCAAAAAGTTGTGTGATCTGATCACTCAAATCACATTTGGAGGAAGTCAGAAATGCATATGACCACAATGTATTTGCAGTGTGAATGCTAATCTGTAATGATCAGTCAAAGAAAATAATGTGTGCATAATAAAATTTGGAAAAGCCCTATATTATTTACATATAAATACAGATGACTTCACACAGGTTTGCCTCACACCATGTACTATGTCATGCCATCAAAAGTAAAATAAATCTGCAATCATGTTTATCCGAAGCATGTGAAATTAAATTTGGAAGTATACCTGAAAACAACAATACATAATTTGGGTATTTACACTACCTTTCAAAAGTTAGGTGTCAGGAAGATTTAAAAAAAAAAAACAAAGAAATAATACTTTTATTCAGCAAGGATGCATTAAATCGATCAAAAGTGAGAGTAAAGACATTTATAATGTTACAAAAGATTTCTGTTTCAAATAAATGCTGTTCTTTGGAAACTTCCATTCATCAAAGAATCCTGAAAAAAATGCATTGTGGAATCTCACAGAAATATTAAGCGTTGCCATAAATTCAGCTTTGCCATCACAGGTATAAATTACATTTTAAAACATTTAAATAGCAAATAGCTATTTTAAATTGTAATAGTATTTAACAATATTGCGGTTTTCACTGTATTGTTTGATCAAACAAATGTAGCCTTTGTGAACATAAGAGACTTTTCAAAAACATTTGTAAAAAATGTTATCGACCCCAAACTTTTGAATGGTAGGGTGCATAATTCCATTTTTTAAAAACCTTTTTGCCAGGCTCTCTTTCAGCTAAATGGATCTCAGGCGTAAAAAGTTGCCAGGAAGAGCAAAGAAAGGCCCTCATTGCGCAAAAATCTAATTAGAGCCCTTTGCTGAATCGCTGCCTATAATTTTTATTAATCGATCATGGAAGAGCCGGACACATCAGGGCTTAGAGGATGATATATAGCACTGCAGAGGAAGAGTGTGTGAGAGTGCGTGTATAAGAATAAATTAAGTGAGTTCGTGGGGGCACTTTCTTATGTGCTCTCGTATTGATGGCTGACCTTCAAGAGCAATGATGTTGCCAAGTATGAGATCACGATTCAAAGCGTTAATAAAAATCATCCTTATTATTCACTGCAGAAGATAAGCAATATGTTGAATGGTATTAAATGGTACAGTACAGAGCAAAAAAAGTCTAAAGATCCAAAGGGAATGGTGATATGTACAGCTGTAAATGGGGTCCAAAAAGTTGTGTGATCTGATCACTCAAATCACATTTGGAGGAAGTCAGAAATGCATATGACCACAATGTATTTGCAGTGTGAATGCTAATCTGTAATGATCAGTCAAAGAAAATAATGTGTGCATAATAAAATTTGGAAAAGCCCTATATTATTTACATATAAATACAGATGACTTCACACAGGTTTGCCTCACACCATGTACTATGTCATGCCATCAAAAGTAAAATAAATCTGCAATCATGTTTATCCGAAGCATGTGAAATTAAATTTGGAAGTATACCTGAAAACAACAATACATAATTTGGGTATTTACACTACCTTTCAAAAGTTAGGTGTCAGGAAGATTTAAAAAAAAAAAACAAAGAAATAATACTTTTATTCAGCAAGGATGCATTAAATCGATCAAAAGTGAGAGTAAAGACATTTATAATGTTACAAAAGATTTCTGTTTCAAATAAATGCTGTTCTTTGGAAACTTCCATTCATCAAAGAATCCTGAAAAAAATGCATTGTGGAATCTCACAGAAATATTAAGCGTTGCCATAAATTCAGCTTTGCCATCACAGGTATAAATTACATTTTAAAACATTTAAATAGCAAATAGCTATTTTAAATTGTAATAGTATTTAACAATATTGCGGTTTTCACTGTATTGTTTGATCAAACAAATGTAGCCTTTGTGAACATAAGAGACTTTTCAAAAACATTTGTAAAAAATGTTATCGACCCCAAACTTTTGAATGGTAGGGTGCATAATTCCATTTTTTAAAAACCTTTTTGCGCTATTTTAATTCTACTACACTCTCAAAACATTGTGAGCGGCCTAACTAGAGAGCATCTTAGGTGCACTCCTGACCAAAGTTGTTACACATAATAGATAATAAAAGGCATCTGGGCAACCTTTAAATGATAAATGACAATTTCATATGTTGCGCTTCATGTGAGAAGAGTTAGTTGTGTAACCTGGCATTCGAGTAATACACTTTGCAGTTTGGTTAGGATACTGCCTTGAAGGTAGCTGTCGATGTTGTTAGTAGACAAAAAGGTAGGGTTTCGGATCAGAGCCATGACTGACTCAACTTTCAACCCCATGAATGATTACTACAGAAATCACAGACCAACCTGGACATGCCGAAAAAATCCGCCTCTTCTTCCTCACATCTATCATCTAGCTCTTTCAGAGCCAGTGTCACATCCTCCTCGCATATTGAATCGGGGGCCGAGTCCAGAGCCAGAACCATCTCCTTCTCGTACATGGATTCCAAGGTGGAGTCTTTGACAGGTGGTGGCAGCACCAGCTCGTCATCAAAGAGGGATCCAGGCGGGCTGTCCACAGCTGGTGGCGGAGGGGGCGCTGGGTCCAGGTCGTCGGTAGGGTCCTGGGAGTCAGGTAAGTCACAGAGCTCAGGGGCATCTGAGGGTAAAGGAGGGGCACTGCCAAACCCCGTATCCTCACTGACACTGCTGCTTAATTCATCAGCTGCAGTTACACTCGCATCCTGCAGTTGCAAAGATGACAGTAAAGGGCAGTCAGGACTGGAGCAAAGAGGGCAACATGTATTTTGGGGGACAATAAATACCTTTATACTCTAATAATACACAACAAATCTTTGAATCTTTTTGTGTGCAGTAAGCACAACACTCCAGAGCTGTTGCTGTAGAAACTATTTATTTTTACTGAAATAAAAAGGACTATTTATTTTGGTCCACATTCAGACCAGGTGGTGAACATTACACTTAAGAGTGAACATCACCAAGGGACCCTTAAGCACAGCCACTCACAAAATGGCCTTGCTATATGCGTTTGGTGCTTCTATTATGAGAGGAAAAATCAATAATGGTACAGGGCTAATCTTTCACCATTGACTTAAATAAACCTGTGACATCAGAGGATGTAAATTAAATGGACCACTGTATTTCTAGTCATAAATCACATAAAAGCACTGAGCTAAATAATTTTATAACTATAAAAATCAAACTCATGGGGAAACAGCTTTACCCTGAGCCTCATAACATGTCTGACAATCAAGACTCCATGGATACTTACATAAGACAATATTCATGTAATTCAATATGTAGTGTATGACTAGTTCTACTATCTTCTACTTCATGAAACCACAACAGTAAAAAAACAACAGTAGCTTAAAACTAGTGGTCGGCCAATCTGATTTTTTTTTTATAGCTGATATCTAATATCTTAGAGTAAGGTGGTCAATTGCCATTATTAAGGCGAGATATATAAGATATCCATCCATTTATTCTAGCTTGCATTTAATTTAAAAATAGTAAATAACATGTTGCAATTAAATTAATTTATTTTACATAAAATGTACAATATGTACTATATTAATAATTATTTTTTAAATAAACCCCAGCAAACTAATAAAGATGGGAAATGGGAGATCCTGTGTTCCTGACACTGTAAAAAAAAATCTGGCTTCCAACACTTATTAGACAAACATAATGCCGATTAAATAAAAATGACAAATATTGGCAATATATCAGTCGACCATAATTCAATATGTAGTGTATGACTAGTTCTACTATCTTCTACTTCATGAAACCACAACAGTAAAAAAACAACAGTAGCTTAAAACTAGTGGTCGGCCAATCAGATTTTTTTTTATAGCTGATATCTAATATCTTAGAGTAAGGTGGTCAATTGCCATTATTAAGGCGAGATATATAAGATATCCATCCATTTATTCTAGCTTGCATTTAATTTAAAAATAGTAAATAACATGTTACAATAAAATTAATTTATTTTACATAAAATGTACAATATGTACTATATTAATAATTATTTTTAAAATAAACCCCAGCAAACTAATAAAGATGGGAAATGGGAGATCCTGTGTTCCTGACACTGTAAAAAAAATCTGGCTTCCAACACTTATTAGACAAACATAATGCCGATTAAATAAAAATGCCAAATATTGGCAATATATCAGTCGACCACTACTTACAACCGAGTGGTTTAAGGTTCAAACTTTTGGAGATCACACAAACCATGCAATGGTTGACAATGCCACATGACCTCAATGTCACAAAGTCTTTAAATCTCAAGATCTTTGAGATGTATAATGGATGTTACCATTACGTTAAATTCCAGCACACAACATAAATGATGGTAAAACATCTCTGGGAACAAACTGTTCCATCTCAGACTCGTGTATTATTCAAACATATTTTAAAGGAGACAACCGAGGAAAAAAACAAAAACAAAAAAACAACAACAACAACCATCTAATTGAACGAACTTGAGTTTCTTTTTTTCTTCTTCTCCTCCTCTGTTCTATTTATGAGTCTAATGCATTAGGAGAAGAAGGGAGAGTGGTGTGGAGCCATAGAGGTGGTATTAGAGAAAGCTTTTAGGCGTTCTTGGCTGTGGTGGCCAAGCAGATGAGTACGACTATCGATGGTTTTATCTGGACTCATTACGCTAAGAGCTGGAGAAAGACAGGCGAGATGCCCTTGAGCTGATATTGAGGTATGACTGCACTCAACTGGTCTTGGCTGGACTGAGTAGGTATTGATCAAAAGTTGTTCATTCATTAAAGAGCAGGTCATATGGCATTTTAAAGTGTCCTAATATTGTGTTGGAGTCCCCTTCAACAGGTTTAAATGCATCTAATATCAGAAAACATTGTAATTTTCTCAGAATATACATTTAATATTAGAATCATTTTTCAATGATTTCAAAACGATTCGTTCAAAGCAGTTCTGAGCTTAAGGTCTGTAAACTCCAGCCTTCCATAAGCCTACTCTGCTTTGATTGGTCAGCTGGCCAAGTCTGTTGTGATGGGTCTTTCCGTATACAATGAGTGTCAGAAACGAAACGCCCAATACCATAATGAATTTTTTGCTCCGGAGGGTTACTTGTAAACAAAAATGGTATCGATATTACTGTATCAATTCGAGCCCAAGTCCGAGGATGACAGAAACTCCATCACATGCACGACTTGATCAGGACGTTTCTCAGTGGTAAGTTTAAACTTTGTATGTGGTACTTTACGTGATGTGACAGCAGTTTTATTGCACTCATTATTATTATTTACTTATTGGAGGTGCACGTGTGGGAACTGTGTTAGAATGCCCAGTGAGGCTGAAAATGCTGTACATCGTCTTCTCAACATGATGTGAACACACTAACTAGCTGAAGTGTTTGTGGGCAGGTCAGAGTGTTCGTATTTCATGGGCAGGTGGGGATTATGCAACTGTGTTACCTTGTGACATATATAGGTAACAGGCAGAAGATTCGAAAATATGACGACTCGTTAAGGCGGTTCAGAGTCGACTCTTTCTTTTGAGAGACAACTTCTTTATTTATCATGCACTTTTTTGATTAACAATTTTGCAGACCGTTTACATTGAAGGGTAGCTACTTTAGAAACTGCAAAAAAATTTTTTTCCGAAAACCCATATGACCTGCTTTTTAACATCAACAGGAGGGTATTCTGCTATGAATTGTGACCAGGGGACATACACAGATGAATTTTGCCTGAAAATCATCTGAACAGTAATGGTTGTGTGTATGAAGGTTGACCTGGGCGAACATCCTAAAAAGAACATTTTTCTAGAATAGAACTACGTCATTTAAAATCAACCAAATGAACTGAAAAACAAAATATTCAGATATCCGCAGTTAGTTAAGTTACAGTGTTAGTAACATGGCTGGCTAAAGCCTGTTAGCAGTTTTTAATGTTCTCTCAGTCGGGCTGTGCCTTTTTTTTTTTTTTTACTTGATTATTATTGCATGGCATGCTCTTCGATTTTAAAGGGATAGTTCACCAAAAAATTAGTCGCTACTTATTCACCCGTATGCCGTTTCAAAATGCTTGACACTGAAACACAAAATATACTTTGAAGAGTCTTCACACTGCACTTTCCATACAATGAAAGCATAAAGTGACCAGGAGTTGTCAGGCCTTAAAAAGAACACAAAAGAGCTCCATAAAAGTGGAACAAACCACTTATTTGCTATAATCAAAGTCTTCTAAAGTCATACACCAGCTTTTTGCAAGGAACAGTAATGTAGTCTTAACTCATTGAAAGCTTTCCGCTCCTCTGTAGCTCTCATATATTAAAACTTGATGTCAAAAACACAGAACGCCATTGGTTAAGATTACATTTTAGTTTGTTTATAATATAAAGCTATCATATTGATTCAGAAGACATGAAATATAATGCATGAATGATATGGACTCTTTTGATTAATTTTTTTTTGTAGTTCTGGAGCTTGACAGCACGTGGTGACTGCTTTCATTCTATGGAAAAAAAATCAGCATGAACATTCTTCAAAATTTCTTCATTTGTGTTCCACTGAAAAACAACATGAGGGCGAGTAAACAATGACAATGTCTGGGTGAATGATTCCTTTAACAGGGATGTAAAAGGACAGTCAGGGATGATGTAATACAAATGGACAAAATAAAGAAAATGCACATAAAACTCATGTTTGGGGATTCGGCCTTTCAAACCTCGTAGAATGGTGGATTTTCACAAATACTCACGATGAGGTTGCAGGTCCATGGATAGAAGTGAGTGGTCTTCGTCAGAGCCTAAAGTGTGTTAACGTCTGTGTTTTTCAACCTTTCTGGGACCAAATTTGAGGTAGTTCTAGCACAGCAGGCCTGAGGTGTATGTTTGTCTTTGATAATCTCTCCCCGAATCAAACATCAAGCAGGCAAGCAAGCCCCACCCACATAGCAGTCAATCAATATCTAATGTCAATGATGGCAAGCATCCCATAAAGCAACACCCAGTGCGAGAAAAAAAGATATCATGTGCCAGTACTTTGGCAGAGGAAACAGTTAGTGCCCAGTGTTAAAAATGCAACACTTTCCGGAAACACTTTAGCAACAAAGTCTGCATTAAAAGCTTGAAATTTACACTTTTGGGGTGATACAGGGAATTTGATAGGTAAGAAAACAGCACTAGTTGACTCCATAAGAGAGCAAAAAGCAAATGGCTAAATAGCACCCGTGCACCACAATTTATTGAGACTCCTGATTGATCCCACCTCAGGCAGCTGGTTGCTATTGCTGTCAGAGTGAGCGGTCTCATGGGTGGGGCTGTCTGGGCGGGGCAGCGGTGGGGTAGGCGTGGCCTCTTCAGTCAGGACACTACTGGAGGATTCTTGCGACTGCTGGAGGGAGTCCATATGATTGGATATGGCGTCATCAGTCGCTGAATCACTATTAAGCTGCATGAAAAGGAAAAATGAATCAATAGTTAGTAAAAAATGAAGCATGTAGAAGTCTCTGCCTAAACTAAGTGTTATGCTGCATGCACCTATAACTGTTCAATGGAAAATAGTACCCGATTTCTGTACTTCATAATATTTAATTCGTCTTATATCATGACAACATGCGACATGCCAGAAAAATGACATAAGCCTGGCAAGACCAATTACATTACATCTTTCAGTCTTATTCAAACAGTGTAGAAGGAAAGAGACAAAAACAGGAAAAGAAGATGACTTTCACTCAGCAGCATTTAAATGATCAGTTTTCTTAAGCTCTGCTTAGTAGCTCATGCCCCATAGCAAGCAAAAGGGTGAAAAAAAATTATTAGAGGTTAGAGAAAAAGAAAAGAAAAATTAAGTTCATAGTGCATAGTTAACATTCATGCAGAAAAACTATTTGAAGCTGTTTAAGTAAAAAGAAGGCTCACAAGGAATATACAGATTACTTAGCATTTTCTGATTTTTAAGGGAATAAACATTTTAAAATGAGTTAAATTAAAGTCTGGAATAAACTACACATTTTGCAGTCTAGATGAACCAATGCTAGTTGTTGACATTCTGAGGCAGTCTGCAGATTTTGGGCAGTCAGAGTTGACAGATTTCACAGAAAATCACTGTATGAAAGGCAAAGACCCTGATTTTTTGCTTACGTTTCTGCGTTTTTTTGTTGTGTTCGGAAAAACTTAAAAGTCTGTTAGTGTGTAATCTTCAGCCATAATTTTCAACCATTTACAATGTCAGCAAGTTTATAATGCCTAGCGTTTTAAAATGTGTTCAGATTTTAAAAGTTGTATAAAGTATTCCAGCCTTAAGTGGAAAGTACTATCTTCTTGCTTTAAGCTGAAAGTATAATCAAATTATACAAATAATTAATAAACACACAAGAAGAGGTGTAACTCTATGAATGATGGATGTTTGTGGAACTCTGCAGAGTTGTGTGTATGTGCAGATTCTGTGTGGGCCTCTAAATGAGATCATGCTGTCAAGGGTCTAAAAACCTATGTCAAAGTTAGCATAAGAATGCAAAACAGCTACAATGTATTAAAGTTACTCTGGCTAATAAAAAGACAGAAAAAAATGGGTCCCCATCACCATACTTACCCAAAACAAATAAAAAAAAGGGAATCAAAATGGAACTAAGGCTCAAAGAAGGGTTCTATGGAGTACTAAAAATTAATAGCTGGCTTGGTTGGGCGGCAGGGAGATGTACAGAGGGCACTTGTCTAAAGATACTGTAAGTGTGGGTTATGCAGAAAGCAAGCGTCTAACCCCGCCTACGTAGGCTGTGGCAGCGTCTAAGCCCAATTTGGCACACAGACACACCATGCTGTGCCCCCTGTGTGGAGGGGGCCCAGAGTAGAGGGGACTTACGAGGTTGGAGCGGGTGAGAATCTGGCTAGCGCTCAGTACCTCCTCCTCAGATGACTCATCAGTGTCCTCTGGCTGGATGAGACTGGGTGTGCTGCCGGAATACTGGCAGTCCTGCAGAGATGGGGTGTCACCTTTGTCAATGCTGTCCAGTGAGCGACGCCTCACACCCCAGTTGAAGTTGTCCATGCTCTCCCCCTGCAGGTGGAACAGGAGAAAGCCAATGAGAGCAAAGCAGATCAACTTTTAACTGCAAGCAATGTGAACTATAGAGAAATAAAGGATAAGAAATTAAATGAATTCACTATACAAAACACGATGCAATACGCATAACCACAGAGCACAGTGGGGTCGGTGAACATGGAGAACAACACAACAATGACCATTTAAAAGATGCTTTATATTCTATTTTGAATGAAAATTGTTCATTTGCACTATCCATGTACTTGTGACACTCATTAGCCACAAGTATCAAAACAAACCCACTTGATTGGCTAGCAAGAATCACATTTCATTTTGTAAAACTTCTGAATGGGCAAATTTTTTAAATGAATGACAAGGCCAATCAATTATGGTTTAAAACAAACATTTCCCTGAACACTGCTTAAAATTTACCTGAAGCTCCTGGACGCAAAAGAGGAAAAAAGATAACAAGAGTGTTAGGGAGAGTTAAGACAGAGATAATGTGGAGGCATACAAACGGACACTGGTGATGTCAGAGAAATACAAACACACATAGACTCTCTCTTTGTTAAGGATGAAACAGTTCTGAGATTAGGGATTCACCGATCCGATACTCAGTATCGGTATCGGCTCCGATACTGCCAGTTTCTGCCGGATCGGGTATCGGTTAGACAAGACCAATCCAAATCCAATATTGTGCTTATACTATTCTGTGTTATTATTAAGCCCCATGAAAGGCACAAAAACATTATAAAGCACCATAAAGTTTCTGTGCACTAGGGCTGTCAAAAAAAATTCGAATTTCGAATATTTGTCGAATTTAAAATAAGAATCCACATTCGAATGCAAAAACGTTGCATTCAAATTTTAGGTGTGCATTAAGGAGGCAGCCTTATCAGCGGCGCACGAGATGCGATGACGATGTAAGTGTCGTTGCATTATAATGTTTTTGTTAACCTATCCAGTTGAAGCCACTAGATGCGGCGCAGCTGCGTTGTTCATTAAAAATATAGCGGGAAAAGAGAACATCAACGCGGAGAAGATCTTGTTTACATCAAAACCAAAACCAAGCCGTTCACACAGAACGCACATTTCACGCATTTTCTAGATGGACATCTATTACTGTTGCACTCACATCTCGCACAAAGGAGCCGCATGTTTAGAAAGCCATGTAAAATTAATGCAAGTTTAACTTTGAAAAAACATATATCGAGACTTTATGGTGGGTTTTTCCCCATCCCACTGCATCTCATGTTTTAAATGAAAAATGTACTGTGTGATTGGCTTTCCGCCCTTTGTATTAAACTATGCATACATACATACATGATGCTGTTGTGTTTATAGTTGTTTAAGCAACTTAATTATAATTGGTTTATAAACATTATGCACTTTTTTTTCGCAGATAGTCATGTTATCTTATGCTTTGAAGGATGCGCACTCTTGTGGCCTCAGGAGAGAAGCCAAAAGCTTTTCTTCACCCTAACTGAAATTATGCATTTTAAATATAATTCGAATTTTGATCATATTTAAGTACAAAATTCGAAATTAGTTTTTCAGCCATTTTGACAGCCCTACTGTGCACTATATTCTAAGTGTTCTGAAGCCGTTCCATAGTTTAATGTGAGGTTCACATGAATAATAAAGTCGTTAAATTCATCTTCCATTCAGACTGCGTATCGCGTTCGGTTATGACAGTCAAGATGATAAAACTCAAGACGATGATTCTTGATCTGTACATAAAGATCAATGATTTTGCATAAAAAGACTTTATCTTGCTGGAGTTTAGTGCTGCATCTAAATCATGTTACTTTCTGCTAGATCACAACACTGGAGTAGAGAGCACTATGAATTGTTCTTCACACGCACAGTAACTGAAATTTAAAACCGTTAAAAGAAAAGACTCTATTGTATAGATATAATACACAACGCATCAATATCTCTTCCCTTTGTGCTTTGAACTTTTCTATGCGGAGCACTGCACGCTGTAACTCCATGTTGCTTCAAGCGCATCATTCTATGCACGGGATGCGCATAAGTGCTTTGTGCCACTCCGTATAGGAGCCTTTCATGTTATAATACTTTTGCGCAATGAAAGCTTATTAATAGCCTTTCATGTTCTGTCCTATCTATCATATGTTGATGCCTCATTTCTGTGCTATAAATTTAAAAGAAATGTCTTTTAATCTTATAGTATATATTTATATATAAATATATTTAATTGTTTTTCATGAATGGATTTTACAACAATAAAAAGGCAATGTGTAACATTTTACCAGATTTAGTCCTACTTATTCACTTTTATTTGTTCCGCACTAAATAATGTTTTTTTCACTTAATGTTTAGATTTTATAAAATGCACTGTGAAAAAAATCTGTGCACTGTGAAATTTTTTTTTGAGTAACTTTTGCTGCTGAATTATCCACTAACCTAGTTCATAATAGTATTTTTGTCATAGATTATGGTTATATATTTTCCATTTGTTATTTTACTGTATAATGAAGTTGTCTACATTTAGTAGATTGTGTTTAACACAAAACAGTGATGATAAGGTCAACACAAATATATATAGAAATTCTACATTGATTGAAAAAAAAACACTGTGCTGGTATCGGCCGATAGTTTTGGTATTGGTTCTAAAAAAATGGCATTGGTGCATCCCTATCTGAGATGCTTGCAAGAAAAGACTTTTGAGGATTGTTTGTTAATTATCAAAAGATGAGGCAGCATGCCCAGAGCATCAATGCTCACCTCTCCATCCTCCAACTCAACATCCAGGAAGTCAAAGTCCTTGAAGACACCAAACTGCTGTTCACTTCCTGCATCTTCTGCTTGCACTTCCTCCTCCTGTGTCACTTCCTCTACAGTGGGGATCAGACTGGTCTGTTGATCACCTGCATCCAAATCCTCATTTGAAGAGAACACCACCTACAGAAAAGAGGTGTAATTAGTTATCGCTAAAACTGCGCAACCTGCTAATGTAATACGAGAAGGAAAGCGTACAGAGGGGTTTTTAGGCAGGCCGGACTCTGGGCCACACAAAGATAGGACATTCATCAGTTTCTCCCGGGTTCTTCTCTGGAAGCAGATAACAATATCACCATTAAAATAAGAGTTATAATAAAAAAGCAATCAAAGCTGCAGTTGGTTAATTAAGAATTGAAAGATTTTCATAATAGGTGACAATACCTGCGAGAGCTGTGGCCTCTTCCAGCTGACTGGCACCAGCCCATTTGAATTGGAGCCAGAGGAAGTAGAGGAGGTGCTTCTCGTCACAGCAATTACCTGCGGTTTTCCATTACGCCCTGCTGCACTTCGCTGGTCTCCATACTTATGACCTATAATAGGTGTCTGTGGGTCAAATGTTAAAAAAACTGCGTCAAAAAAGCTACTAAGACGAGTTAAAAAAAAGTTCTGAAACTACAACAGATTTACATTAGCCTTCAAAAATTTGGGGTTGGTAAGAGTCTAAGGCCAATTCCAATTCTATTTTATACCCCTTCCCCTACCCCTTGTCCCTTGAAACAGAGTGTCAAGGGGTAGGGGTGAAAATATTCCCCTAAGAATTGGGACACCACTACTATGCCATCACACGTCATCATACGTCGTCTAGCACCTATATATATATAAACTCACTCTAAAAAGAGAAACGCACAGACGCGCATACATGCAACCTTCATCTCTCTCTCTCTCTCTCTCTCTCGAATTGGCAATATTTGAGAAAAGGGTTTAGTGATTTATAATTATTGGGGGGACTAGCCCCCCTCAATGTCTATGGTGGTTATCGCCCTGATCAGACATGAAAATATGTTGTGGCACTATCGTGCAGTCTGTAATGATATGACGTTAGTTAGCAAATATTAGCGATTTTTTCCAAACATTTCTTTGAGTAACATGATTGTAAATATGAACTCATGATTGAATGTAACAAAACAAATTATTACTTTCGTTAAAATCTTTATTAATGCCAAAAATGCTTACATTTATGTCTCATTTTGTTCGCTCGGGCAGCCATGTTGCCGCTGGAGCCGGTTTACACTGAGATAATACCCCTTCGTTTGAAGTGTGGTCCCGAAAAATCTTTGTTTGAAGGGCTATCTGGCCCTTCCCCTACCGCTCCAACCAAAAGAGAATCGAGACACCTCTACCCCAGGGGAAAGGGGAAGGGCTAAGGGTTGAATTGGGATTGGGCCTTATGCTCTTATGCTCAAAAATACAGCAAAACAGTAATACTGTGAAATATTTTTTCAATTTTAAATAGCTGTTTTCTATTTTGATATTTTTATAATGTATTCCTGTGATGCAAAGCTAAATATTCAGCATCATTACTCCAGTCTTCAGGGTCACATGATCCTTCAGAAATCATTCTAATATGCTGATTTGCTGCTCAAGAAACATTGCTTATTTGTATAAATGTTTTCATATTTTTGTGGAAACGTGATACATTTATTTAATGAACAGAAAGTTCAAAAGAACAGCATTTATTTGAAACAGAAATCTTTTGTATCATTATAAAAGTCTTTACTGACACTTTTGATAAATTGAATGTGTCCTTGCTGAATAAAAAAACTTACTGACCCCAAACATTTGAACAGTAGTGTACACGCAACATAAACAAACCTTGAAACAGAGTGTCAAGGGGTAGGGGTGAAAATATTCCCCTAAGAATTGGGACACCACTACTATGCCATCACACGTCATCATACGTCGTCTAGCACCTATATATATATAAACTCACTCTAAAAAGAGAAACGCACAGACGCGCATACATGCAACCTTCATCTCTCTCTCTCTCTCTCTCTCTCGAATTGGCAATATTTGAGAAAAGGGTTTAGTGATTTATAATTATTGGGGGGACTAGCCCCCCTCAATGTCTATGGTGGTTATCGCCCTGATCAGACATGAAAATATGTTGTGGCACTATCGTGCAGTCTGTAATGATATGACGTTAGTTAGCAAATATTAGCGATTTTTTCCAAACATTTCTTTGAGTAACATGATTGTAAATATGAACTCATGATTGAATGTAACAAAACAAATTATTACTTTCGTTAAAATCTTTATTAATGCCAAAAATGCTTACATTTATGTCTCATTTTGTTCGCTCGGGCAGCCATGTTGCCGCTGGAGCCGGTTTACACTGAGATAATACCCCTTCGTTTGAAGTGTGGTCCCGAAAAATCTTTGTTTGAAGGGCTATCTGGCCCTTCCCCTACCGCTCCAACCAAAAGAGAATCGAGACACCTCTACCCCAGGGGAAAGGGGAAGGGCTAAGGGTTGAATTGGGATTGGGCCTTATGCTCTTATGCTCAAAAATACAGCAAAACAGTAATACTGTGAAATATTTTTTCAATTTTAAATAGCTGTTTTCTATTTTGATATTTTTATAATGTATTCCTGTGATGCAAAGCTAAATATTCAGCATCATTACTCCAGTCTTCAGGGTCACATGATCCTTCAGAAATCATTCTAATATGCTGATTTGCTGCTCAAGAAACATTGCTTATTTGTATAAATGTTTTCATATTTTTGTGGAAACGTGATACATTTATTTAATGAACAGAAAGTTCAAAAGAACAGCATTTATTTGAAACAGAAATCTTTTGTATCATTATAAAAGTCTTTACTGACACTTTTGATAAATTGAATGTGTCCTTGCTGAATAAAAAAACTTACTGACCCCAAACATTTGAACAGTAGTGTACACGCAACATAAACAAAATAAAAGTGGCTGAAGACAGAGAAGATGTCAGGCCAAGCACCTCTGAGATGTCAAAGTGGAAGTCCAATGTTTTTCCTGGCAGTTCTTTAGATGAGTTGTTGAATATGCGAGTGAAAGCGATTTCTGGAGAGCCGGTCGACTCCATGCTGTAGGAGCGCTGCACCTCATCAGGAACAACCAGACTCGCAGAGCGGGACACCACCAACTTCAGAATGTTCTGGGCCTCCTTCCAGTATGGGCTCTGTGTAGCAACGCAGACACAACAAACAATAAAAGACCTTGTGAAAGGAATTCGCATTGGAATGCTCTGTATTCATATTCTCATAAAATGGGACAGGCATTCTAAAATAAATCATTGGAGGGACTGATGTTCCGAAAAGAGTAAGAAAGAGTAAGCTGTACACAGACCTGTACATATTTGCCAATGATCTTCATGATTTCCAAGTTGAACTGTTTGACAGGAGCAGCAGACAGGTCAATGTAACTCAGTAGACTGTAGATGATCTGTAGTAAACACTGCTGCATGCTGTTCAAGCCCTTCTCCAATAACTAAAACAGAGGAGGTCAAAGGGGAAGAGACTTCAGCACCATGTTATATGACAGCACAGTTCAGTTTTGAAAAAAGTGGCTTGAGACCCCATCGTGTTGCAGATGATAAGTGTGTAAATAGATAAATATATAACAAATAATAATAATATATAATACATATGAAAAGATTTTATATACATAATCAATGGCAATCAAAAATCTTTTTCAAAAATTAATACTTATTCAGCAAGGACACATTAAATTGATCAAAAAGGACTTTGACCTCTTTTTTTTTTTTTTTTAAATAAATGCTATTTTTTTTAACTTTCTATTTATCAAAGAATCTTGAAAAAAATGTATCACAGTTTTGACAAAAATATTAAGCAGCACAACAGTTCTCAACATTGATAATAAAGACTGGAGTAATGGCTGCTGAAAATTCCACTTTGCCATAACAGGAATAAAATACATTTAAAAATATATTTGTTTGCATTTTGATCAAATAAATGCAGCCTTGATGAGCATAAGAGACTTCTTAAAAAAAAAAAAAAAAAATCCAACCGACCCCAAACTTTTGAACGGTAGTGTAATAAAATAATGTTATAAATACGTTATATTTATATATTGCTTTTATATTTATACATTTATTTAACCATTAAACATCATCATATTTAAAAATTACAAAAATTCACACCAAGGTCGATTCAACTAAATACCTTGAAACTATTTCTAAACAAAACAGGGTGGCAGATTTATCGCTTTCTGAAAAACTCTGAAAACTCAGATACTTTTAATTGTAAACATCTCAACAATATCCCAATAGTTTATTTCCAACTGTATGACTCAATGTACGTCAATCAAATTCATCTCACCTCAGCTAGGTATGTGACCAGGTTAAAGGTGATTTCAGAGAAGGAGTCGTGCAAGTAGCGACACACCACATTGATCCAGTTGGTGCTGTCTCGCGAGTAACTGTGCGTTGAGTACAGGCTCATCATGTGTGCCAGGTTGGCCAGTGTGGCTGACTTTTCTTCAGCACACACTTTGGCGATCCGATCAGCAGTCTCCTTACAGAACCCTGTGGGGTTGTCAAAGTGCTGGACCAGGTGCGGCAGCAGGCACAGGACATTCAGAGGAAAACCTGACAGGAAATAATTTAAGAAAATAAATATATGGAAACACCCTCAATTCTCATCAAAATCTCCGGTACTGAAACAGATACTGATATTGAACATGGGCGCACCTGCTAGCTGTGAGGGGTCTATGAGTGTGTGTCGGGACACAGTGATGAGTTTACTGAGGAGGTGAATTGTGAGCTCCTGTGTTGCAGCTGAAGTAAAACCCTTCAGGAAGAGCGTCAGGAGGCCGGGGAAGTTGTACCACTTCAGTTTGGCCTGCACCCTCTCCAGCTTCTCCCTGCTGTCCGCCTTCTCCAGGGGCATCTGGGCCAGCAGTCGGTTCAGCAGCCTGAGTGCCAGCAAGTACTCAAACTCATAATCGGACTCCAGTAGCGACGTTGCAATCCAGAAGACTGTCGCCATCAGGTTGGTAGGGTCAGTTGGTGGCACCACCTCACCAGATCCTCCTCCATCGCCACGGACACCATCCTCTCGTAATGATGATAAGCTCCGAGTGCGGGCTAGATTTCCGTGGCTGCCACCCAACCGGTCGGCTACATCAAGGGTGTTGCTGCGGTGACGGTCTCCTAAGCGTTCACCCATCAGACTGGCACGGAGGGAGTTGCTGCGAGCGTGGCTGTAATGGACATGCAAGAAACTTCCACTGCCAAGGTTCAGTTGACCGGTACTTTTCCTGTTATTGGCAAACTTGGTGCCCTGCAGAGGATCATGGGAGGCCCTATGAAGGAAATGGAGACAGCATCTCAAGGTTATATGGGTAAAATAATGTGCTGTATATGAGGGGAAATAATGTTTTTATGTTTTGTTGTAGCAGAGCAAATCTTACTGTGAGAGTGCAGTGAGAAGGTCGTAGCTCTTCATCGTTTCAGCCAGAGTGTCTATACCAGCCTCTAGTGTCAAGAGCAACTCGATAACAAAACCCTGCAAGAGACAGATGAAACGTTTGATTATGACTGTTTAAGAGATCAACACTTAGCAGGGCCTAAGAACAGTGTGAGGGAGTTTTGGTCCAGGTGAAAGAAATGCCACATGTCCGACTGGGCCAACATGAACACTGATTTAAATCTAAAATAAAGTAAAATCTTAATGACTAAAGTAGATGATGTTTTGTTGAAACTGTAAGAATGAATCTTGGAAGGACCCAAGGATATTATATTTATATTATTAAATTTTTTTATATGACACAAAAATATGTCAGAAAATATTTTTTTAAATACATTTTTATTTTCATAAAAAAAAAACATTATATTTAAATCTAAATAAAAATAAATCAGTTATTAAAAATTATATTTATTTAATAGAGAGAAGGCTTACTAAAAAAAATACAATATACTGATATGCAAAAATA